TTTACGAACGACACTTATACATAATATACGGAAATTATTATCTCCGCGTGGTGTCGTTGTTAATTTAATTAAAATTAAAATGTTTTCGACGACGAAAATCATAACGATATATTATATAAGGTACGCTGCAAAGCGTGCGTGGATTACGTCGCAGCGGCATCGGTTTATAGAATGCTTATATTATATACAGAGTGTATATATATATACTTAATGCTGCACGAAAATCTTCAAACTTAATTTCAATATTTTTAAATTCTCACCCCCATACAATAAACTTGAGACGTCAGCGGCTGATCGCACACCAATGACATGACATGTCACATATTGTGTTTGAATCAGTTATCGGACTCAACATCTGCAACTATAAAAGCGCGACCATCGTTCATATTATTTATATTATATTATGTTATTTTTGGACACACTGCAAGTTCATCGACGACGATACTCAATAAGACATAATAATACAATAATAATTTTCGATTTCATTTTAGAAACACGCGCATAACCAGATCGTTCTGATCTGAGTCAATCTCGCGGAAACCCGACTGACGARGCGCATTTTTTTCTACAGTTTCTTTAGTTGAATATATACTACTGAATGGAGTCGTCGTGTCGGTGAATATTTTACAAGGTTTTTTACGGCCCACTCGAGTTGCAGGGTGAAAACTACACAATCAAAAAAACATTTGAAAAACGATGCGGAACGACGATCAAGAAAAACCTGCATGATGGTTGAAGACATTTTCTTAAAAATCTTTGGACGGCCGCAGTCTGCAGTATAATTCCCTCATACGTTTAGCATTATAGCTATCGAAAAAATCAAAAAATTACATCTWCGAAGAACCGTGTTCTTATATCGGGACGTATCGGATGATAAATACTTAAATTCGCTGGATGAAACTTTCCAAGCAGTGTTTTTTTTTTATCCAAACAACATTGTTTTTAAAMCCAAAGTGCTGAAAAAATACAATCGCGTCAACATACATTATTGTTGGGTATTCGCGTGGTCTGCAGAACACGGGATGAATCATAGCACTGCTATGCGCTGTTGCTCGGCAATATTGTGTCATGGTGTATGAGTATAACAATCACTACTGTTAATATAACAATAATCATTTATGTGAAAACAAATAATATTGCTGTTATTTTTAATAACATTTTAGTAATACACAGTGCTAATGATAGTAGTATGCAGACAAGTATCATTTTAACTGAATCGACTGTAATCGACTTCTTCTATTATGTTCGGCAACCTTGACGTGGCARCAAAACTCGTGCAACTTTGCTCACCCGTCGTCGTCCTCGTTGTTGCCACCGCGGCCGCCGTGTTAGAACTGCGGCAGGCCGTCGAAACTGGTGGCGGCAGGGCGTTCGCGATGTCCTCGTTCCGGTCGGAAGTTACCACCCAATATCCGTATTTAGTGGGACTGATCACTGGAGGAATAGACGACATCACAGACCAGCAGACCGTCATCTGCACAGGAACCCTTTTATCTCCGGTGTTGGTTTTGTCGTCGGCGTATTGCACGTTGCGTCTGACGACCATGATCAAGGAGAGACCGGAAGTCAATAAACTATTCGTAAGCGACACAATAAACGTGACAAATAATAAATATTTTTCCCTATTTACTGTTATTATAGGTGGTTAGCCTAACCACTCGGACTCACCATACCATAAAGTATTATCAAGTACGGTGATATAATATTCTGCAGGATGATTCATTGTTCATTATTTTTATAATTATACGATTAAAAGTAATATTATAAATTACTTATATTTTTTAATACCATTGAAGGAAGTCAATGTAATGAAACTATGATTTTTTTCATATGAGAATCACACAGTTCTCTAGTAAATTGTTAAGCAGATGAAATTTTTTTTGAAATTTTTAGAAATCGAAACTCAAATGAKATGTCTCTGAATTAACTCTATGTGTACTAAGAACAATAATTCTCATAGACTTAWTATAGTGGGTTCAGAGACTAGACAATCTGAATAGGTAGTTAGATATAGGTAGTTCTAAAGTTAATATTAATCCATCTGCAGAATTGCATTGTTCGTAAAAATGTTCTGGTTGTAATAATATTTCATACTGTATCCAATAATACATCTGTTTTGAACTTATTTTAAGGACTATTATCATCATATTATAACATTTAATAATTTATAGAAACTACTCATTCGATTTATATAGATCAACATTTCAATCACCTAAATATATTATTTTTTTTAATGTATGTCTCATTAAGTAGGTATACTTAAAAGCTCAATAATCAGAATTTTAATGAATTTATTACTAAAGGAAAAAATTCGGTGAGCATAATACATACGTAATGAACCATTTTGTCATTTGCAATATGTATACATTATACAAGCATTATATTATTGTGAAACATTTTAATTTATAAATTATTTAATACATTTAATACTCAGGTACACTAAGGTACATATATTATGTASGAGTTTATATTTTTTGACAAATTTGAAAGTATTATTAAAATATAATAATGGCACATTTGTTTCTTTTTTTTTTTACAAATACATCCACCAAATTCATTAAGGTCACAGGCTTTTTTTGTCAGCAGATAATTTTTTTTTCTGTTTCATTGAATTATTTTCACGCCATTATAAATTATGTAAAATAGATACTAAAAATTATAAATTAAAAATTGATTACAATGAATCAAAGAGATTTTTCTCTATGATTATATAGTTCGAAATGATCTATTGAATTAATTATTAAACATGGTCATTAAGTATATAATTGAAAAATTTGATTTTAAATAAATACATTATTAAGAAATAAAAGAGATTAGATTCTAGGTAAATTACTCTGTATACATTATCAAGATATTGAACTTCAAAACAACTGTTTAAAAATAACATTTTTTTCATTACCGAACGATAATGTCACACATGGTCGATACGCTCTGCACTTACCCACATCGTACCGATAATACCATAATACCTACTATGTCCATTCATCACTTGTTCGTGGATCACGCAAAGGATTTCATATTTCCGACTACTACAATTTTTTGATTTTTTACCGACAGGTGTATTGGAAGACACCCACGAACTCTGTGAAATACCACCGGACCACGAGTGTTTACACACATCCATCATACGACAAAGCCACACGCATGTTCGACTTATCGTTGATAAAGGTGAGCGCGTGATCCATGCGCACAATGTTTTTGCAACAAATTGTATTGGCTCATCGCCGAGACTCTAACATTAAATTCATAAAAAAATAAATAAATATAATGTAACGCTATAACACTTAAAACAGCTCAAAAAGCCGTTCAAGCACGTTGAAYGTTTCGTTAGACTGTCCTCCAAAACGTTGAAAAGCGACGTCGAACTGAGCTGTTTAGTTGTGGGAATCGGTGCRCCTCACGAAAGCAGTTACAAGGTGCCAGTCCGTGTCAAGTACGGCCGCACCGCTTGCCGGATTCCTAAATCTATGTGAGCAAGATTTACATTTTACATTTTAGCTCTGTAGATTTACCGTCATTTCCAATTGATCCGGTATACAGTGTATAGTCTGTAAATCCGAAACTTTCCGACCTAAACAATTTAAACGGTTTCGTCAAAACATTTTTTTTTATTTGCTTTAGTTAATGAGAGTAAATACAAAATTCACAATTTAAAGTTGTTTCGTTACAGGAGATTCCTATTTTTTGCCTACCACGTGAATCTCTGTGTCTCCTATTCCAATTAWTGCAATTTACAATATGAGCACCGTAGATAGGTTGCTTTGGTTCAAGGGCTCTACATAAACACCACCATATTATAGCCAAATGTTCTGTATTCAGATTGGTACGTCCCACATATGTCACCTATATTAATTTCCGATCAAATAAATAACATTTTCATTAAATTTCTTAATTAAACGCTTCTTATTCTYCYCTCCGTTACACTCCTGCCCAATATTTTCAGAACATCTCAAGTCTTGTACTCTTGTATCTCTAATACTTTAAAATACAGTTGATCTTTTACCTTTCCATTTCAACATTCTTTATTTTCCTGCAGACTTTTTTGATAATTCTTTTTATTCGTTTGATGCGCACTACATCCGACAACCACAATATGTCATCCTGTATTCTACATWTCTAMTTTTTTATTGCATAAGCGACCATYTAATTGTTGGACTTTTGCGTGTAAATAAATGAATCAATTTCACGTGTTGTAATAAACAACAAGAGTGGATGATACAGGGTGACGTTACCTACGCCGTTTCAGCCCCGGTTTTGAGTACTTGATCGGATACACTTGGGAAGATTTCCTGTGTACCGAGACAGTAAGTCCGGCAGCCACACGATTGCCGTGTGATAGGGCTGATCCGTTGGTGTGCTCCGATGGCCGGTACCAGTATGGAATCTTCAGCTATGGATACGATGGCACAGGCGCGTCTCTGGCGACGGAGGCGACCGAGTGTGGTGATCCGACCATTCAGAGCAGACACCTGTTTGTCAACAGGAACGCTGATTGGATAACCAAGATGATGGCGGATCATGTTGGCGGCTCGAAGCAGATAGACGAAGTTGAAAAGACCACGAACGCAACGACGACGACCACCAATCGCCCCACGCGGTCACAGYCGACAACCACCTCAACTCGAGTGGAAGTGTCGGAAGTCAGCTGCACCGAYCATCTGGAAGTTAATTACCCGTATCTGGTGTACTTGGAAGGCCTACCCGATGAACCGGTGTGCGGCGGCACTCTTATATCGCCTTGGCACGTGCTCACAACCGCTTACTGCACGACAAGAATGACCGAAATCATGGTATTAACCGCGCGTTTACCAATATAATAAATGTCAGCCGATCAGCAATCTTCAACTGTAGACTTAAGTACCGAATTTCAATATCGAGATTATAGGAGTATTGCTATTTGAGCCATTAAATTTAATATACAATATGGTTCTACTCCAAAATGTTTCATCAACGTAAAAGGGTTTAGCATAGGCGAAATTAGATTATTGTATTAGGATACTGGCTAAATATAAGTATGAACAAAAATTCTAATTACAAAAAAAGTTTTTAATTTAAACTTTTAATTGTATTAAGTCTGTATGTTGTCCAACTAGGATCTGACTGACCTGACTCGTAGTTTCATCTATGGAGTTKAATGTGTTGTGAATCGTAATAAAAACCATTAATCCCATTTATCTTATGTATGTTGTTATTATGTATAATGCAATGTGATCAATAAACCAATGAATACCATCCATATCATATATACCTATGTCTAGAAAATATAAATTCATATCACGAGTATAAAAATTTGATTTGGGACGGCACCTGTATTGCTGTCTTAACGGTTTAAAATATAAGCACGGAAGAGTATTTTGGGGAAATATTGACGGGATAACCTAGTKTAATGAACATCGTAGGAAAAAAACCCAGCGCATAATCAAAAGTACGACCATTATATTATCATTATTTATGATGATAATAGATGTATCTAAATTGGACGATATTTACCAGAAAGATAATGAGGCATTATCTGAAAAATATTCCGTTTTTAAAAGTAGGGTATAATTGGTAGTGTTTAAGCTCAACCTATATTCTATACGAACCATATAGTCTTATTATTTCGATTTTTCGTAATTGGTTTTGCCACGTCGCTTGCCAGRATGTCGGACCATAGGGACGGAGACACAGCTATATAGTGTAATATCTACTATATTGACTTTCTTGCCGAGAATCTGTTTTTTCGAMGGGTTTTATTATTTTGTTTCGCTGCTCAGGTGACCGTTACGACTTACCGTAGACAACGCGCGATGGCAAGGCTCGTATACATTCATCCGAACTTCGACCTATACACGCTGACGGCGGACATCAGCATCGTTGTCGTAAGTCTGTCTCATCCTCGACGCTTGTTATCTTTCCCGACGCACCGTTTATGATTATTGCACGGTATCATTTTTATCCGCACAGTTACAAGAACCGTTAAACGTGACCAGATACGCACAGCTGCCGGAWATTGTCAGCGGCCCGACCGACGACGGAGACTACAACACAACTTCTAGAGCGCTGACTTGCGCAGTGGTGGCGTCGAGCAAACGATTGACACCGTATCGTTATGTCCCGGTCAACATCAATTACGGACCCGAAGCTTGTGGAGGATCATTTGAGTACGTACAATGTACAAACGTTGTGTTGTTATTAT